TTGATTCATTCCCAAACTGATCCTGATATCTTTGAATTAGTATTAGTATTACTAGTATTACTGGAAACTCAGCTCGTCACCGCGATACGAGAGAAAGTAAAATCCGAATAAGGATCGCTTCTCTAAAAGGGCACGGTACAGTAAGAGTTGTCTTCACAGGCGATTTTCATACCCTTAAATCTTGCTTCCTTTATATCGTGTGTGATCCCACGCGATTCTTATTCTGTTCAAGGTTTTCACGAGGTCACCCTTGTGACTGCCCCTGGTTTAACCTAAGAAGGGCTGAAAAACAAGCAACGAAGATGAGACGTCATGTAATTTATTGTCTCCCTGATTGAGCACTGACATTAATCTGCCGTGGGCATATTAAGTGCGTGAGATAAAAACTATATTAGAAGAGAATATTTGACAATTTAAAATATATATATTTTCCCCATCACCACTGTTTGGTGTTGGGCAAGTTATGGTGAAGTTTTAATCCTAATCGCCAGCCATTTTGTGTTCACTGCTGGACGAAGGCCTCCCCATTTGAACGCCGTTTCATCCTGTTCTGAGCTTCTCCAATACATTTGACTTCTTCAAAATTCATTATTTCTCATGAAAATTCATTATTTTATTCTTGCTTGCCTTGGTTATTACTATTACTTCATTCAACCCGCACGAGATATTTGTCATGGAGAAATAGAAATTTCGTCCATATCTACAAGTTAATTTTTAGAGGTTACATGCCAAGATCACTCATATCTATTCCGAATGAAGTCTACTCGAAATTGAAAGCCCAGGCAATCTATTTCAATAATTTTCTAGAGGACGTGGTTGCGTTGATGACAAAAAGATATGATTATGGAGTCTCTGCGCCTAGTCGCTAATCGGAAACCACGGCTGACCCATCGAATTAATGAATATTTGGAGATGCCGAGCCCACTCACTGTCTTCAATGATTGAAGATTGGCTCTTGGGATGGAAGGGCAACAGTTAAATTGAATCAAGCAAATGATAGTCTGTGTGTGTGTCATGAGTGATCCATGAAGCTACACTGCGCGTATTGCACGACGTTATGCCGAAGGAATACAAAAAGCGAAGGCATAGGTTGCTCATAGTTGCTCATTTCATTGAAGTGCCAATAAATTGCCGATTGCGCGTATTCTCCTTGCTTTTCTCGTGCAGCAAGTGGAATTTCAGGTAATAAAAAAAGAACTTTCCAGATCAACGAGATACAGTCATTCCATTCTTGGGTAGTCAGTCGTGTATGCTTGCCCCGAGGCTTTGGAATTTCCTGCATCAGATTGTGGCACAGTCAACCCAATATACCTGTTCATTTTCTCACATGTTCACACTTGCGTCTGCTGTGTCATTTGACCTGAGTGCTAGTACAGTGTGTCCCAAAAGTCACGCTTTATGGTCAATTTTCTGCTGTTTGTGGTAAAAGTGAGGAATGAGATCAATGGCAGACTCTGGTGGCATGTTCCTGGGCTCTGGAAGCCTCGAGTCCCACAATAGGGCTGACTTACCAAGTTACCAACTGTTGCTAAAACTCATACCATAAATTTATCATTGACAATCTCTATTTTCTTCCCGTTTTCGAGACTTGGGCTTACAGCAGTGCAGTGCCCCGCGAATGCTTTTTCTGGATGCAAGAGCTTTCTTGACGCCGCGTGGTTCGACCTTAACGAATTTTCGACACAACGCGATTCAAATCGGAGCCATTTTCAATGACGAACTTCAGACCTGTAAGGTTTTATGCTCCTAAAGATTCCGCGCTGATTGATGTTAACCTTATTCTCGATTGAGCGTGTTCCGATCGTAGGGTAATGTGAATAGCGTAGTAAGGAGAAGCTGATATGAACTTGGCTTGGTGTGTTCTAAACCCCTCGTTTTTTTTCTCCGTGAACGAAGTACAAACCCGCTCGCTTCCCCCCAGGTTTGTGCACGCAGTATGTGAGTTCTAATTCGTTCGGATCATTCGGCTTGAGCTCTTTAAATTTCAAGCGTTGGAGTTTGCTTTTTAGAATTTTTATGCTTCCTGCGTTCGGTTATTAGTATTGGCCCTTATATTACGGGCGTGATCTGTACACCAACTTGTCGTGTTCGACTCGGTCATTTCCCAACGAGACATCTTGCCAGAGGAAGAGCCGTGTGACCGAAGCGGCACTGCAGTTCCACCCTGTGCTTGGTTCGTTGTAAAACTACGGGCACGGTCTGGTATCGAACGAATGACTGAATAACGCAACATGCTATTCTGGGCATGTGCATTGTACACGAGATCGATGGAGCCATGTAGACGCCTCTCGACATGTCCGTACATGAAGCGTATACTTCTCTTTCAGAATCTTTTCCACACATGGCTCGACATCGGTGTAATGGTGTTTTAGGCCTCCAACTCCTGGAATGGCTGAAATGTAGATTGCACGAAGTGAAAACGTGGCTTCAAGTGTTTTATTCTGGCCGTTTAGTCTCATGTGAACTGAGCAAGTTTGGAACTAATACGCGTGAGCCCTTTTGTAGAGTACAAAAACTCTAATAACACTATATCTAAAACTCTATAAAGCCATTTCTTTTAATGGCGAAAGAAGTGCTTTTCCAGGGGGAGAGGGATTTCCACTCTCCGGCTCCTCTTAAATATGATGACCAGATTTTTTTTTTAAAGAAAAACCCATCTGTAAATCGATCTATGAAGTCACTTCTCTGGCTGAAAAATCGGGACGCAAGAGGTCACGTGATAATGTCTTCCTCTGCCACTTTAGGCCTATTCAGTCGAAAGAGCTAAGAAGCAACTGGGAACTGCAGCTGACTGAGTTTCTTCGGTGATGTACCGATACGCTCGAATATTGGGTCACGGAGACAGTTTTCCTAACAAATGAAACAAAAACCGGGCCACTTTCAAGATCGGGACAGTCTCAAAAAAATGGTTCTGTTCCGGTAAACCCGTCTGTTAACCCAACTCTTACAACTTCCCTGGAGGAGGGAAAGCATACCCTTCCGACTCATTCATGCTTTTCATTTAACTCATTTTCGACTTCAACAAAAATTGCAAATTTTAACTTATTTTCTCTTAGTTTCGCTGAAACTTGAACAATTTATAAAATTGTTTATTTCAAGGGATATTGGCTTGATCTCACTGAATAAATCACGGACATATGTGCCGGACAAATGGTGCTCTTCACATAGCACGTATTTTCTAAGGTTCTGCTTTTCGGGATACTATGGAAAGAACAGATTAAGAAGGAATTCATGGTTTCCACAGACTGTTTCATTAGGAAATCGCAAAGCAATGAAGTTCCTTCGAGATGTTGCCTTTTTGTTTTTGCTTTTCATTGACACCGCTGGCGCTTTGTACCCACGCCCAAGGCGTGCCCCAGGCATGCCCAAACCCTTCGCCCGCCACGTGCGTATCCCGCCCACAGCCCGAAAATGACACCGGACGAAGCAGAGCTCCCTCATTGCAAAGTCAGAGGCGTCTGTCATGCAATTTAGCATGGGTTACCTGGTGCACAATTCTCAATGAATAATTCAATGGATTTTTTGTTAACAAGAGCCGTGGGCCTAAAATTCCATAGTCTCCAGGAAGCACCCTGAAGTTATCTGAATGAGGTATTGTTCGCGATATTAACCATTCAAACCTTTCTAAAGACTTAAACCCGAATGCTGAAACCTCCTTTAAGTAACTGTCCTTTAAGAATAAATGGATTCTTATGGGAGAAAAAGAGCTCTTTAGCTTAAAGGCCCCTTTATCTTCCCTAAATGAGATTTTTGCATTCGGGCCTTATGCTCTATCGGCGATGGTTTGTTTTTGTGACTACATCAGATGGAGAAAATAGCATGTGCACAATTAATTAGAACATTTTTAGTTCATAACTATATATTTTCCCTGATTGTTACTCGTTCGAGGCAGGGAGTGCAGGAACCCAAACTTATTGCATTTCAAGGATGCAAGCCTCGCAAAGCAAGGAAAGGCAGTGTGGAACAGCAACACGAACGAGACTTCCGCGACTTTGAGTTACTCGATTCGATTGCAAATAGTGATCGTCGAGAAACCTTTCAAGAAACACTTGTTATCCGCTTCTTTACGATCGAAACCTGCTTTCAAAACAACTCAAAAGGCTTTCCACGTCTTTTTTCTAATCTTTACAATCTCACAAGTCCCTCTGCGAGGATGGCATCCTTAAGGATACCTTTGTGAACAATATGCTTTTCACAACTGACCTAGTTTTCAATTCACTTGGCTTTTTCTTGTTCCCTTGAACAAATCCGTTTTTGGACGTGTCAGGTATTTTATTTATTTATTTATTTATTTAGACAGCTTGTGCTTATTCCGATTTCGGGATGGCAGTCTCCGGATTCACAGATGAGCCTGACGAGAATTCTTTAAAATAGGGAGGGTTGAAATAACGAACTTTGTCAGATACACTGTTTTCGGATTGAATTCGTAACCCCAAAGGACGGAGAAAACACGACTTCCATGAAAAGATCCGCTTAATCAGATGATCCACGAAATCACTGTGGCAGTTGTCACCACGTGCGACCGATGGAATTCACTCGAAAACGATGCATTGTATTTTCTTTAAAGTCTGGATAAGAAACGTCATTGCCAAGGGGGCGACGGAGCATAAGGTGAGTTATTGGTCGGCTGTCCTTGTGGAGCTGTGGGTGGGATATGCTTGTCTGCGCCTGCCCTTTCACCAGGATAGTAATATCGGAAAACATGGCGCTTCATTTTGTCATTTAATGCTGCTTCGCTTCCCATAAACGGGTTTCAGGACTAGTTCCGATGCAACTCTAATGTCAGGTTTCAATGTAGGCTTGGTTTCAAAATAAAATCACCTTTACCGTGCCAGTTGAAATTGAAGAAAAAAGAAAACGGCAAATAATCCCTCGGTGTTTCCTTATTGGCTAGGCCAACGCATACGCTGGTCTCTAAATTTAGGCTCACTTCTAACCTAACGTTAGGTTATATCATAGAGCTTGGCCTACTAGAATATTCATAGAGACTACCAGGCCCAATGAGTATGCTTTGGTCTATGATAGACCTAACGCTATCACATGAAAGAGTTGTCGAATATTTAGGAGGCCTAAGTTGCCCTCGCTGTACGACCAAGTGTATATTCGCTACCGCAACAATCCCTTCACTTGTACAATATCCATGTACAAGTGATGGACTTGAACCTAGACCTGTATGCTAAAGTTTTTATTTAAAATATCTGTGTTCTATTTGTATCTTCCAATGTGAGTTACCATTTCCCTTGCTATTTGCTGTTCAGCCATAATAAGAACTTGGACTTAGCCTAGATCTACAATAGTTAAATATCTAAGGAAGGCTACTAGGATCATATGCTTAGTGTACTTTAGATGTCCATCATTATTTTTATATAGCTATTACAGAATTTTGCTCATGCAAAAAATCAGTCAGAAAGCCCATTCCCCAAGTTTTCCCATGTAGTCTTCCTCAGGATGGAGCCAGGCAAGTGTTGAAATTTGGAATGAACTTATTTTCACATGTAAATTTTTTATCAAGATCAACTTTTGCTTCTGACAAGGAAGTCTTCAACAAAATATGAGTTGAAAGGCAGCATATTTTCATTGAGTTCAGCCTGTTTTCACTTGACTCTGACATCCATCCTTAGGAAGTGGCAAATATGGGTGTTACAGTCATTTGAAATAATGTCTGTCTAAATCAGAAAAATATAAAAACATGGGAAAAGAAGATGGCATTTAAGAATTGAACTAAAGCAGTACTTTTATGATAGCTGAAACTTTAGGTTCCAGGTAGCTTAATAATGTTCAGCATCTTTATAGTAGAGGTCTACTTTACTAAATAATTTAGCCTATCAACTTACCTTCATGCCTTCAAGATGTACATTATTTAAATTACTATAAGTCTACCCCATGTCTTCTGAATGAATCTTGAGGTTTTTAAGAAGCCCATAGTATTTACCTAACTTGGCATTCAACAGGATTTCAATTGTTTGTACTAAGGTTCCACATTTGCCCAATTAGGGTGAGTCTGGTTTATCTTTTTTCTCTACAATACATCTGTTTCTTTTTATTTTGTGGGTTGGGAAGTCTTTCCTTTTCCAAGGCATAGATTTATTTATCATAAGTTTTTGTACTATTATATAAAGTTAGGTAAAATGGCTTAAATAACCTTGAAAGAAGCATTTGATATGAGGAAGGTGATTGCTTGTGATGTGATTGTTGGAATTCATGGTCCAAGCCCTTTCACATAGTATTTCCTGTTGACTAGAAATATTTTTCATAGAATAATTGGCACTCCTCAATGCTGAAGGCATATAAAACCCAGAATGACTTTCCATCTGTGCCATGTTATGGCTCTTTGATCATAAAATCTAACTTAACCACAGTTTTATATTAAAGCAGTATTTAGCCAAGCTTGAGAAAGAGAAGGGAATTATTAGGACCATATAAGGAGGGCCAAGGTGGACCTGTGCTGCTTACATTGTAGATCTAGTTGGAATATTTATAGCAATAACTACAATTTTCCATCATGTGTGGTTGTTGGAAGGAAGTGAGAAAATGGGAAACTGGAGAAAAAAAAGTAAGAAAAAAATTGCAAATTTTATTAATGAGAACTCTTCTTAATGTGGTGCCTCTAGTCTCCTATCATTGGGCCTATTATAGCTTGGCCAAATGCTAAAGGAATCTGAACCACCAGGCTAGCCATAACTTGGTTCAGCCAATCATTGGCATCTCTTTGGGACTACCCTATGCCTTTTTATTATTGTTTTTGGGTCTCCATTTGTGACCTAGGTGGAGTCTCCGAGTGTGCCACGATGGCTGCTATTCCACTGTCTGTGCATACTGCTGTAAAGGTTCATAGAAACATGACTAAGAAGAATGCCAGTTCAGAGGAAAAGGGCTTCCATTTCTTTGACAGCTCATCCAATGATGTGCCAAATTGGCATTCAACCCCAGTGAAGGAGTGTAAGTTTTGGTTTTAGAAGAATTAGGCCATAGGCTCTTCTCTGAGAATGTTCATCCCATTTTTTGTTCCAGATTTTGAGCAAGCTCTGCCAGCTCGTTACAATAGTAAGCTGATGAATTCTATATGGGGACTGTACAACCGCTACAGCCCACATAACTTCAAGAAGAACAATGGAGAGGGAGGTGTTGTTGGGATTGGAGGAGTTCATGTTGCTCCTCCTCCTTTCCCAGGGACCATTCCTGAGGTCCCTGACAGAATGTGAGTCCCCTAGTAGGCTTGTATTTCTTGAGTTTTTCCATCCTTTCCTTTGTGGTGCAACCCTCATCTATTGGGTCTTTGGTATACTGGTGCATTTGGACATTTTCATGACATAGTTTTATCATATGAGCTGCATCTAGTCTAAGGGAAATATTCCCAAGAATGTCACATCTCTGATGAGGTAGTGAACATTCGAGTCAATATTCTGATTGTCACTCTGAAAATTGAACTTGCAAAAGGAAGTTCCAGAAACCTTAAAATATTTAATTCATTAGCATTCTCAAATAATAAAGTAAATGATGTGACAAAGAACAGAGGTGGATTTTTTTATTTCTTTGCAGTGTTTCAGCTATAGTCCTGTAGCTGAAACACTACTGTTGAAATTTGGGGCTTTGATTATATCAGTGGATCAACTTACTTAGGGGAGAAAATTATTCTATTGAATTTATTTTCAATTAAAGAAGTTATCTTTTTGCTGTAGAAATGAATTCATATCAATTATAATTTATAATTTATTCCCTTCTGGGACTTATTGTGGTGTGGACTGTTCTGGTGGTCTCTAAAGTTTTTTCCAATGTACCAGTACTAGTAGGTTCTATGTTCTGTTCATTGTGATATTGCTTTCTAGTTTTATCATAGCTTGGCTGAATGTACTGTTGGCATGCATTGGTAGAGCATGGCTCGTTTCTCTTTATTTATCACATAGCATGCTGTTTGATTCTGTTGGATATCAACTGGCCGCAGCCTTCAAGCTCAGCCTCCAATTCTAGCCAGTATCCACTCCCCACCATCTTTGTAGTACTTTCTAGTGAGTGGATTCCTTCTCCTATTCCTTTCTTGCCTTATTGTCTCATTTGTACTCAGTTTTGTAGAGTAGCATGCATATGTTGAGTGACATTGGTGTCTGGTATCAAGAGCCTGCAGGGAAAGGAGAACATGTCCCCCTTCACCTTCTTGTGTAGCTGTAGCACATGCACAAGTCTGAAAGAAATTGTGTGTTTTAAAGGGATGGACAGAGTCAAATCAGATGTAAGAATCCTGCTATAGAATTTATCCTTCAATAGTGGCCCAATTAGCATATCTATACTACTGTTTCTGGTCTGTAATTTTTTTTCCTCTAGATAATGGGTTTTTGCCCTGGATAAAAGGACTACTTCTTAAGAAAGAGGATATTTGGGTCATGGCGAAGAAGGAAGAAGACGTTTACATGTTTCCATAATAATGACTCATTGGCTAGGGTAGAGGAAACTGATAGTATGACTAGTGGATCTTTCTGTCAGTGCTTGAAATACTGATCTAAAGATTCAGAGATATGCTTGTATCCAGAATGGGGATAAAAATACCCTAGTCACGAGATGCTGAGTTTTGGCAGTGTGCCTCCTAAGTGTGCATCAATGAACATTCTAACATACTCCTCTTCGCACCCTGCCAAATGGACTGCTATTTTCACCTTGGCCATTGTCACTATCTTCTTTTTTTTCTTAATACTTAGTATGGTGGAATTTTTGGGGGCCTTACATGAGACAAATACAGGCCACAAGGTACCCTAAAGATCATTGCAATGTTTTGCTGTTAAGATGTATATACACACGTTTTCGAAACCGCTTATCCCAACCTAATGGGGTCGCGGTTCGAGCAGACGGAGAAGCATCATCCAGTGTTCGTGATCCTGGGCTACCGACTCAAGCTTGGCAGGTACCGAGCCCCTCGTAGCGAAGGTTCGCGTTGTAGTCCGACTGCCTTGCTCGAGGTCTACCGACTGGTCTTCTGCCGGTCATTTTGGATTGAAAGACTCTTTTTAGGAGTCTCTTGGGAACCATGCGGGAGACGTGTCCAAACCAGTGGACTTGAGATCTCCCGATCCGAAGAAGTATCTGCCCGACCTGGTGGTTCTCACGGATGCCGGCACTCCGCATCCTCTCACGACGCATTACACCGGCCATCCGCCGTAAGAATCTACTTCTTTCGGTCATTACCCGATGTTCTTGACCATGGGTGAGGGTGGAGAGGTGAACATTCTTAAAAACGGAAAGTTTCGCCTCCTTGGAAATGGCAGATTTGGCAACCACAGTCCTCCAGAATTCCCGCAAAACGGCGGAAGCCCTGGGGATGCGGCTGCCCATCTCGTTTCCGTTTCGCTCGTCACTCGAGAACCAGATCCCGAGGTACTTAAACATCTTCACCTGTTCCGGTGAGGCTCCCCTAAGATGTAAGGCGCACTGTACAGGATTTCTCGAGACGATAATAACCGTATTGGGGACGCTCAAGTTCATCCCGGCCGCAGTACATTCTGAGTCGAACCGATCGAGCAGGCCCTAAAGCTTCTGTCGAAACCGAGCCAAAAAGACAGCATCGTCGGGAGAGAGAGGTATCTGAAACTCCCATCCCATCCATGCATACGGGGAACAGGAGAGAACGTAATCCTGACGCTACTGACCTACGAGCCCCAACTTATCTCGTTAACCCAAACCCAGCTCCTGCAATGGCTGTAGGAGGATTGTATGGTCGGCAGTTGCTGACCTCAGTGCATAGAGCTACCCACCTCACCTGTTTTGCAACGCGTGTGATTTTCCGCCCCGTTCTGAGGTTCGTCCGTGTCCGGAGTTTGCTAACCACTATATGGTGGTCAATGCTCAGTTCGGCCCCTCATTTCACCCACGTATCCGTACCCAGGTTTCACAAGTCATCCAAAACGATCACATAGTCGATCGGCGACGGCTGGCGCACAGCCTGACTGGCAGACCCCCTGTGGTAGGCATACTTGTGGATGTCATGTTGGAAGGTGTTGGTGATGGTCAGTCCATTGCCAGCACAAAAGTCGAGCCTACCGCTTCCATTCCGCGTGACTTCTCTGGAACGACTTATAACCCCACTCCGCGTTGCATCATCGTTCCCAAATCGCGCATTAAAGTCCCCCATCGGCAAGACAAGATCGCCGTTAGGAATCCCTTCTGGGACCCCATCCACTTCTTAGAGGAACGCGTCATAGTCTGACTCGCTGTTCGGTCCGTAAACCTGAACGGTGACAAGATCCAGATTCACTCGAATCTGAAGCGGATCAGAGCGACTCGCTTGCCGATTGGTTTCCATTTGATCACACTGTCTGCCAGCCGGGGACAAATGAGTATCCCCACTCCCGCCTGGGCAAACAGTTGGGCTTACACCGCTTTAATAGAAGGTCCATCTAGAGTAGTGGTTCTCAACCTCCCTTTTATTCCCATAGAAGATACGTGTTCTCCGTGGTCCGCGGAACAAAGATTGAGAACCACTGATGGTACCGGTGCCATTGCTCTTAGTCGAAGCTAATAAATGTCGACTATATCTAGTCAATGGTAAACGATTGTTATATGTGCATGACATTTCACAAAAAATGTTTGGCATGTGCTCTCCCTGATAATAATTATTGTCTCTTTTAGGAAGTTGCGTCGAGTCATTCCTTTGCTTATTCGAAGCTTTTCCACCCCACCACCACCAGTTGCTGGGGGCGAGATTCGTGACAAGATGAAGGCCAGGGAATCCCCGAATTGAATGCTTCATAGATCGGAAAAATTGTATACAATTCCTCGGGTTTTTTTTTTCTTATATTCATGTCTTCTCATATTGACAGAGGATAGAGGTGATATACTCCATCCAGGAGTGATCCTCCTATTGTATTCCATGCCTCATGGGAGGATTTCCCGATATTTGTCTCCATTATTGAGACATTACAGATCAAACTTTTGACTTGGAAACGCTCTTGACTTGAGTTTATGTATTGTGACTGAATTTTATGTTACGCTTATGTCTCGTGTCATATGGGGAATACAATACGTAGTTTTACAGCTGGGCAATTGGTAGGCAGTCGGAAGGTTAATGTTGGACACGCATAGTACTTTAGGCCATAGTCATGGTTGCACGTCTCTGTGTGGCCAACCCAGCACATCAACTTTAGTTCATCGGTACCTGGATGCAGTATCAGTTGTAAGGACTTGTGAGCATTGGTCCAAGAGCAGGTGTAGAATCCCTATACCTGTGATATTCTAGGACCCAGGTCTTTCGAGTCCAACGGTCAAGTCTCAGAAGGTACAAAGTCATTGTGAAAGGGAAGCTCCTGACTGCTATGGATGAAATTTGTGCAATTAAGTCGAAGGGAAGTGTGATGTAGGATTCAGTCAAAATAACTCCTGGTGCCTGTATTTGAGACCTCCAGATTTCTAACATGTGTTACTGTGGATGTGAAAGAGGGACACATGGTTTGTTTGTTTTCCTCACTAGAGCAGTTTTGGTTAGGCTATTTTAGAAGTGCTAGAATGTACTTGAAAATGAAAATAAACAGATCTTCCTGGAAAATGAGTCTTGATACTTTCGACGCCTCCACTCTAAACCCTGGACTGGGAGTTTAGTGGAAGTGCTGTACAGGATTCACCTCAATTTTAAAGTATTGTTAGTTCTTAGGATTCAGGGCTGGACTAACAGCAGAGCCCCTTATTAAGTTAAAAAGCAATACTGTCCTTCAGGATGTTGGAAATTACTGGCCTCCTAATGGTGAATCCTCAGAGAATTAGCTTGAATATATAGATTTTTTGTAGTGATTGGCACTGTTTTGTTGGTAGGATTGGTGTAGCCTTAAAAAATGTGGGGAATGAGTCCACTTCTTGATTTTGAGAGCTCTTTCTGGATCCGAAGAATAACCCAGTGGGCTTGAAAGGAGCCTGTTCCTACCATATGGTACCATGAAGATTATATTCGATGAGAAGGCATGTCATGAAATGCCTGCCACTTGGAAAAGAAATGCCATATTATTCCAGAAGGGATCAATTTCTTCTGAATACTGGACATTCATCAGAACGAAGTACTTTAATTAGGCCATCTTTTAGCTTGCAAAAGTGTCCAACCAAGCCTGACGAGGGAACTCCCCAGTGATTTTTCTTAAATTGTGTTTCATCCCGACAGAAGCCCGGCGACCCTGTTGAGCCGCAAACCCGTGCAGTATGTAAATACACTTTCAGCTATCTCATTATAGTCTCATCAGAGCAAGACACAATTAATATTCTCTTCTTATCCAGCCCAGTTGCAAAAAGTGAAAGAATAAAAATTAGCGCTGCTAACGTATGTTACCGTTTCACATTCTACCTGCCCTGCTAAAAAATATCCAGACACTATGCCAAACGGAGGATCGTAGTATCGGCAGGCCATACATATACATACCTATACATGGTATAGGACCTCCGTTGGTGTGAATAGTTGCAATGCTATGTATTGATTTTCAAGTCAAATATGGAAATAAGGTACGACAAGGAAATTCAAATTCGTCATTTCGTTGGATCTTGGATTTTAAAGAAAGTACGTTAGTCCCACAGAAAAAGTCTAATGCGGCAATCGTATCTAACGCACGTACGAAGCGACTGCCTATGAGTAACGTTTCCATTACGCACGGCTCCATATGCAAATTAAATTGCACGGATGCATTTGGATGTGACATCACTGGCAGTTAATCGCATTGGCAACCTTTGATGTCCAATCATGAAGAATGAAAGCTATTGATCATAAATATAAGCTTTACAAGTCCAATGATGGTGCACGATAGTCAAATGCAGAATAGAAATTCAAATTCGACAATGCCCTGCATGGCAGTCAAAAGGCAACGAGAGGAAAATCAAATAAGATAGGCCTACTTGATCCAGTGAAAGTCCAGCGATGCTGGACTTTCAAGATAAGCAGATCTGACATGAGGAAAGTCAAATGTGGCAGCCACTGTCATGAAAGTAATAGAATGGCCGTTTGCCAGGAACCATTACTGATGGGGGATGATTATGGTAGTGACTGATGTTCCAACTCTGAAGGACGGGCAGGCGTCACTGGTGAAGGTCTAGCTCCAACTCGGTCGCTCCATTGCGATCGAAAATGAAAATCCGCACTTTCCTCTCTGCCCGGAGTTGCTTGATGCAAACCCTGAAGCCTGAAACAGCCAACTCTCACCCTTTCTGCGCTGTGACCTTTGAAGCTATATGATACTATGATGTAGGGCGCATTGTAAGGAAAAATCGGAACTGCACAAGTGATTATACCCCTCTGTATGAGTGGTTGGTGCGGCGCTAAGTGCAACTGGCAGCAAAATTTCCCCAAAAATCAATTTCTCATGTTTAGAAATAAAACCAGAGTTTTATTTGAAACTAAATGTATTGCTGTCCAAATTAATTTTCTTTAAAGACTGCCACATTATAATGTTAATATGGCTGATGTTCATATGAAATATTTACAACGCACCGCTTATGGACCAAGTGGTAGTATAACTGCTGGCTACCAAGTTTCGGGTCTGAGTTTGCACACATTTGCCCACCCTTGTGGATTTCGGCAAGTCTAACAAGCAACGCGCTTCAAGTCACCCTCGTATATGAGAAACAGTGTAGAGTAGCACGAAGAACCATGAGAAAAGAATTTTAATTTCTTCCAAATTTTTGTTTCAATATGTACGAGGGTCGTTCGAAAAGTAACTTAACAAGGGCTGGCAAAGTAACATTTAATCAATGAAACCATGTAAATGCACAACTGAAGCTCAAGGGGCACATTATTTCCCAACGTAGTCGCCAGCTTTGTTGAAGCATTTGCCCGGTCTTGCGATCAGTTCGTCTATTCCTTCCTCGAAAATGTCCTGGCTCAGACTCTAGTCCCATTGCCGCACGGACGTTTTCACTTCTTCGTTACGAAAATGATTCCCTCTCAAATGGCTCTCCAGGAACCTGAAGAGGTGCTAGTCGGAGGGCACCATGCCAGGACTGTATGGAGGGTGGTGCAAAAAAAATTCCCGCCCAAAGCCAAGAAGAAATCCTACTGTCAAGAGTTTGTTCGGACGTTTCCTGCGGATGGCTTTCTTGGAGTTCCGTCACCGTTGCACATTAGGCATAGGGATTAAGAGCGGAACCATGTTTCAAGAAGTCAACAAGCAACACGATTTCCAAATCCCAGAAAAAACTCACCATCACTTTACCAGCTGAAGGATTCAATTTGGAGTTTATGACCACGGGCGACGAGACAGGCTTCCACGACATCAAAGTTCGTTTCGTCTCTGAAGTGTTGTGGTGGACTCAGTTTCGTCGCCAGTGACAATGCATTGCAAGAATTCCTCAGAAACGTAACGCGGGATGTTGTCGAGACAGCGGCTGCCCTTATGGTCCTCGGTCAATTGTTTGGGTGCCCAGTGCGCTGAGACCTCCCGACGCTGCAGCACATCGTGGATAATGTGGTGCGCAGTGCTAAAGGATATGTCGAGATTGGAGGCACTGTCAGCCGTCTGTTCTTCCCGATGAGGCTTTCGACATCCGGAACGTCGTCATTCGTAGCCGGCTAATGCGATCTTCATCACGTTCGTGCTACCATTAGCAAACTGTTGACAAAATTCTGTAACATGTTCTCGAGACTATCTTTTTCTGCTCGACTGAAATTATTTGTGATCAATTTTTGCTGCCGGTAACTTTTTTCGCCCACCAAAAACGGATTACACTCGGTATGCGAGACCACGTTCCAGGTTGGGTCGACATTTTGACGATCAGCAGCCACGCTGTGCATGGCAGCCTCAACTTGACCTCAAGATATCAGTGACATGTCTTGGCCATTCATCGAACTCAAAAGCCCCCACATGAATGACAAAGACAATCTTGGTGCTTGTACCCTTGGAAAGTTACATTTTGAACAACCCTCGTAATTCTAGCCCAGTTTTGAACTGCACAAATTCCTATTCAGAACTGCACATATCTGTTACAACCGCACATTAAAATATGCCCTGCTATAATGTTGTATTCGAATTTCTCAAATTGTTAGCCAACGTCAACTTTTCAAGGGATGACCCAAAACGTTCCCCTACCACCCACCCCTCACTCCTTTATTTTTCCGTGGGAATCTAATATTCCTCCCCCAATTTTTGGTAGTAGCCACTCCTAGGACCAACCTTGACATCGATGGTGATCAATAAGTTTAACTTCAATAACAGCGTCACATGCAGCTGCATTTGGAGTCGGACATGTGGGAATTGCAAGTCGAAGGCACAGTCCTATGCTCTCGCCCGTGCCAGGCGAGAGATAGGACTTTCGCATTTCACTTCTGATGCATAACAGGTTTTTCTTTAACCCTTCAACGCGGAGTGCCGTATAGCATACGTCATGGCCGGAAAATCACGCGCCGTGTAGTGACGTGCAGGGCATGCAGAGTAGTGCTTGCTTTGTGCTTCTATCTGGCGAGGATTTTTGGAACTATTGGAAATGGTTCAGTTTGACTTCGTAGAGCAGGTTTCAAGCTTGCAAAAGATATATACATCGTTCTATTTTGTCTTTTTTTTTTCCATCCGTTTCAGTAAAAGCCAATAGTTGCATGTTTTCAGCAAGATCCCCTTCCGCAGCATGGTATTGACGTACGCTATCCGGCACTCCGCGTTGAAGGGTTGAAGACAAATATCCATCACAGCGACGCATTTGAATTTCTTTGTCTCACTCATTTGACTTTCTTAGTTCCATATTTGACTTGAAAAGCCAATGGAAGCACTTACCGGCAGCGTTCCAGTGAAATCCTCCTCCATTCCGCAATGGCTCAGAATCCTTTAGGGGTTAAGGTGGAGTTTTTTTAAATAAGCACTTTCATGTTTACTCCAGCTAAGCAATGCCCCTGCCATGCTGCACGAAGTACCATTGCGTGGTTTGAGCATCATGTCATCAACTAACCGCTATGATCTGCACAGAGACTCATCTCAACCTGTTGGACTTCCTAGAACACCAAATCCTCAAGCATGTCCAGGGCCGGCCTCAGGCATGTACCACAGGTATGTACCTCAGGCATGTACACAGGGCCCAAATTCATTAGGGGTGCCAAAACGTGCTTGGATGATTGAAGCAATAATGGATGCCACTCTCCGTTTTACTTAAGAAAGTGGAAATGCTTAATGTTTCGGTGTCTTTGAGGATGCAAGAGATTGATCCTTCTCCCCTGTCCACTCTCCCCCCCCCCCCCCCCCCCCATGTTCCCTGGGGGGGCCCCCGGGGGGGGGGGGGGGGGGGGGGGGGTGGATACCCCCCCCCCCCCCCCCCCCCCCCCCCCCCCCCCCTCAATGTTCCCTGGAGAGTCCCCTGGGTTGGGGAGAGGGAGGGGGGCGCTGGATGTCTCTTAGCACCAGATGTTGGAATAGCTAGGGCCGGCCATGAGCATGCCTTCTACTGTGGTCTGCACACGTTTCAAGAACTTGTAATGGTGCAAAAAAGGAGGATCTAAATGGAACGCTGTTGGGAACTAGCATGCCTCGTCGTGTCACAGCATTTATTCTCATAAACGGTGGTCTTAATGGATATTAAACCTGCTAATGCTTCGAATTTGCATTCTGTTTGGAGTCCGGGTACTTTTGACAGGGCAGAGAATTGAGGCAGAATCAATGTTTCCTGTACTGAATTTATGTCACACTTGAAACTACTGATTAAATGTCCGTGGCATTCCCTAGGATGAAGCTGAATCCCTGTATACTACAGTTCATGGACGCTAGAGGTCCTTTTAGACATCTGGTGTCAATCGAAGAAAGGCTGCAGTTGAGTCAGAAAGAGAGAGAGTCATTTTGCCTCACCCTCGGCCCCGGCCTGGGGCCTCATGTTCGCTGCCCGCTCACATACAAGGTACATCAAAGTGAGCCCTCCTCCTGGCAACCTTTGGAGGTCAGGCCTGGTGTATTTTAGCTTTTCCTTATTTAAAAAAAAAAAAATTATTATTATAAATCCCTATTTCCATTTCCATTGAGGAAATCCGCCTTCAGGAGGAACACGTTGCTCCTTGATAACACACGGAGATAGATGTTATCTCATTTCAAGTGAAAATCCTCACGAACTCTTTTTTTTGTCTCCAGTATTCGTCTTTTCCGACCCAGTCATAACGCGTAGGAGCCTTCCTAATTAGCAAGAAAGATTTCATCAAGGAAAGGAGGCTTTCCTTCTTCCTTATCATCAAAAACTAGTACAGTATAATGATGAGAGTTGGAGGGGGGGAGGCGGAGGGGGCGGAAGAAAGAGCAGTCGCACCCTTGTCGTCCTTATCCCTTCCTGCCTCAATCCAACGAGCGCATGTTACCACTTTTTTCTTGGACCTGGACCTTCAGCCCTCTGGCAACTTGAACGTAGATAGTCCCGACAACCGAAGCGAAATTCCACTAAGTCTCCTATGTAACAGGTGATGCCACTAGATTGAATCCCCTCTTCCGTACCCGATCTTTTCCCGTCGACAATCCGGGACAGCATTGGAAGCCCTCAACACATTTCGCGCGATGTGTTGAAACAAATGGATGAAGGGCGATAAAAATCACAAAGAGCCCTTGAAAGTAAGCGCCACAGAGGCTATCAATACCGCCTTCAATGTGCATTCTAAGTCGAAAGCCTGTTGAAATTTAATGGCAAGGCAACATGGATTAAATTGTATATCCCCGGCTGAGTTCTACTTGAAATCAAAGCCCTCACGTGAGACATCGATTCAATGTCCTTGAGCTGGGGCAACCATCAGTCCCTGAACTCATTCAGATCTCGTTCTTATCTAGTCGTCAATCAATGAAATCCATTTCACGCTTTCATTCAGATTCACCTTCTGTATTTATTCTCGCAAGTTACCGGTACAAGTCACATGTGATGCTGAAGAACAGAGAAATGTTAGGAAGCGCATAGTGCCTGCACGAAAGGCTGAAAGGCATTTGGCTGGGAAAGAACTACTCACTCTGGCCGACAATATGCACACGACGTATAGCAAATCACATTACATCCATGACAAGGGATATTATACCTTTTGTAATCCGCTCTTAGATGGCTTGTAGCTCATTTTGGGCATTCTGTAAATGGGGAATGCCGACAGAAAAATAGGTGGAAAATTATAACAGTTTCGGCAAATCGGAATCAGCTTTCATCCATGAGAACTGGATCGCAATCTGAACCATACGGGTTCGGCAACGACGTCATTTTCGACGTTTACTGCGAAAGCAAAGTTACGGCGACTAGAATTTCAAGATCGTCCGCGGTGTTTGAAGCTTGTCGGCGAGCAAGTTTCCTTCGAAATCCGATATTGGAGGCCAAGAATGAAGTCGAAGCAATTAGTTGCATTAAGAGATATACGGTTTCGGCAATAAGATGTCTTCGGCAATTAGACGGAATCACTCTCTCCATTACTCTCAGACGTGAAATTGAATGTGGAATATGGCGACTGCATCGTCAGCGAAATCTGGAATTCGTTGGTGGGACACGTTTTCCGCAAAAAACTTGGTATCAGAGTGCAGAAATGAAGATGAAACAGTTGCGAGTGAATACGGGGAAATTCGCTTACAGAATATTCCGCCGTAGAGTGAATTGCAAATGCAAATTTGAGGCTTTTCCGGGGAGATTTTTACGGGACGTTCTTACAAGGGGAATGGGAATGGGTTTTTATTTTCATAGCAGTCAGAATCTAAAGGACTACGGGAAAGATCTAAAGTTCCACCCTCAATCCAGTGAACAACGACCGAACTATTCCATAATTTTGAAAGATGTCGCTCACGACTTTAAACCTATTATTACCTATCCCTAGAGCGACAGATAATGCAAATATACTCACTCAAAAAAGAAACGCATAGCTGAAATATGATTGTCACAAGTACAGTTCAAATGAGTTATCACGTGTAGCTATTAATTACATTAGGACGGAGCAAACTTAAGTGCCTGACACCATTTTGGCACGAATATGCACGATTTGTAACTGCTCAAGCATGAATTGAAGTTTTATGTAACAGTCCAGTTCAATGCACGTGGATGCCATTCTTTCAACGAAACTCCATTCAACGTTACGTGATGCTGCTTTCAATAAAAGAGTCAGGTTCCCGTCAATAGGTAGGCAGACGTTGTAATGCAGCAAAGCCATCAAGGATGCCAAGACTCTCAGAGACGAATCGCAATAATGCTATTGGGAGATGGGAAGCTGGTGAATCCCAGCCATCAGTTCCAAGACATTTTAACGTGCACCAGAGTACTGTTGCAAGGTTCCGCAAGAACCGGTTCCAGCAACAAGGTTCAACGCTTGACAGACCACGCACCATCGCCCCTGCGCAAGATCGGTGCATTCGACTCGGACATCTGCGGGATCGGTTTGTTACAACAACTTCTACAGCATCAGCAATGCCTGGAGGGCGGACACTGTCGGCTCAAACCATCCGCAACCGCTCACGAGCAGCAGGTTTGAGATCAGGACAACCGCTTCTTGGGTTTGTCTTGTCACACTGGAACAGACGACTTCGTTTACAGTGGTGTCACAGGCACGAGGTATGCCCTCAAATGCGTTGGAAATTAGTTGTCCCTCGATGACAAAATATGTATTAATACTTACATAAAATGTCATGGATTAAAATTCATGATGAATGTGACTCTGCGTTCCTTTTTTGAGCATATGTTTGCAAGCCGAAATATGCTTGCGATTTCACAGCTGTTTCATTTTTGTTGCTTGATCCGACTGATAAGTGCGCCCGAGATCCTGTCATTCCTGCCGAAACCAAACTTCCTTCAAACAATTTCAATCGCCGAATACCTTCTGTCTTCCAAATGACGAAATAGAGGGAGAAACTCTGAAACCTAGAAACAGGGCGTCGAAAGTGATCCTCCCATGGGCAAAGCCTGCTGAGCACCATCTTTTGCGTGCCGAAAGTTCGTCCTGAACGCCGATTTTCAGATGCGCAGCGCTATTCGCTTTCTATTAGGAAAGAAGGGGGAATTGTACCAAAAATGATTTTAACACGAAGGGGAATTACTGAAGGTATAAAGCTCCCCAATATAGGAATGCATAGCTCACGTTTTAAATTTACCATTCGTGCCAAGTGTGAGATGATCTTTGAAGATGTGCAGCGAATTCTGTAACGCCTGTTATCTCGTTGCTCTTTCATTCTTGTGGCAGTAATTCCACTGAAAAGTTCGCTTCTGCGGGCTTTTCCTATCGAATGTCTGAAAAGTACCATATCCAGCAGGAATTTTTGTCGCTGATCTTCCCTTTTCTGTCTTCCACGTTACGAAACGCGAGGAGGAATGCCGAAATGCTGATACGGGATGACGAAAATGATGCTTCCTTTCGCAAAGTCTGCTGAACACCTTCGCCCGGGATGGCGAAAATTCGTCTAAAACCCGGATTTCTCAATGGGCAACCTCTATATTCACTGTCCGTTTTGGAAAAAAAAGGGTAATTGCACAGGATTATGGCTTAGAGTTTTCTGCCCTAAATTGAATTTTTTTAAAATGGACTTGTGCTATTCTCTTACCTATCACTTTTGCTAACTCTTCATCATCAACTAAAGTAAAACGCATTTCCGTCATCGTAATCGTTGATCTACAGGGGGCGTTCAAAAGGTAGTACGTTAGCGACGTCCCTATGTTACTCCACTATCGTCTGTGCAGTCGAGAGTTTGCCTTAAAACAGACCCTGATTTGGACAGAGTGAAGACAGGGACGGCAGAGAATAACGGAGAGCTAAAGGGTAGCGACTACTGTATGCATGGGCGTCCGCTCCCAGGTGCAAGGGGGGCACTTGCCCCCCCCCCCCCCCCCCCCCCCCCCCCCCCCCGCCCCCCCCCCCCCCCACCCCCCCCACCCCNGGAAATCGGGCATGGCAATTTACTGGTAGTACTAAAAAAATAAATTTAATGTACTTCGTGTGGAAATCTCTTCTTCCGTAGCACCATTTAGACCCATCTTGCCACGCAATATGAAACATCCTAACGAGTTAAAAATTCAACTCAACCCATCTGGTCCAGAGGCTCTGGTAACACTACTGCTCTACATAACATTGCGCCAAAACTGAAGATAGTACAACATGGAATGCAAGTATCTCAGGCTGAATGGCTATTTCACGTCTTCCTTGTAGGTCGTTCACACTAGGCCTACAGTAGGCCTGCCCTAGTTGAGTGAGCCTATACCTGCACTTTGGTACTTGTTTTGTCCAGTTTGCTTAAAAAAATCAAAGCTTTTAAAGAAGGCATTTTATTTTTGGCCCTTATGGCATAGTTAGAAGCGTAGGGTTAAATTTTTGCAGTTACATTGTTATTTTTTAATAACCAAGGTGCCTGTTGTTTCTCTTCAAGGAGTAGAAGACCCTCCCAGCAAACAAGGTTATGTTGTACCAATGTTACAAACGTTGATTCAGCGTTATGTGTTTCACATTGTTTTCTGGACTGTCTCATTGTCTGACATAAGAGTTGCATAATAGGTCTACAGGTATGGGCTACTTTGAGGCCCACAATTTCTGTCGTTATTTTTAGGGCGAAAAATTTTCCCTTTGATTGCAGTTATGAAGGGAAAAAATGAAGAACCGGTAATGAAAAGTGTATGGTTCTTGGCCTTAAAAACAACGGCAGAAATTTTGAGGTGGGATCTGAGTAAAAAACGTGTGGTATGCGTTTAAAAAAGTATATGAGCTTTGAAATTGCTCTCATCTTTTGCTCAAGTAAATGGCAGACATTTTGCAAATCTTTCAATTTTGTTAAGCTGCATAGAAAATGGCACCATATAATTGAAAACTGGTTTTTTGCAAAATTTGTGATTTTGAACATTTCGAGCCATCACATCTCCTTAAACGGAATTTGTTGGGACAAAAATGGGATACACATCATTAGATCTTCTGCCGATTCCAAAAACATTGATGAACATGTTAGGTTAGATGAACATGTTGAAATTTTGCACATTTTTGAATCTACCAAAAATAGGCACATTTTACATAGCTTTATTTTATTCAGTGTCGCCTCAAGGAGAAAAGTATATGAAATAACTTCGAAAGTCTAAATTTTGAAGAACAATGGTGTTCGCTGCGTTCGTTTTGGTCAGAAAGTTTTTGGCCCACATGAGTGTGAAGAGGTGCACCTTTTTTTAATTTCACAAAATTTAACATTGTACTAAAACGGTTCCATACCCCAAAGCCAAAATTTTACATTCTAACTTTGGGTCATGAGGAGTACCACATGAAAAATTTTCATAAAAATCGGAGGGGGTCATGCTCCAATTCACAAAATTTAACATTGTACTAAAACGGTTCCATACCCCAAAGCCAAAATTTTACATTCTAACTTTGGGTCATGAGGAGTACCACATGAAAAATTTTCATAAAAATCGGAGGGGGTCATGCTCCATCCTCTGGCTGATTTGAGACGGAATTACCCTGGTATAATTCCTTGTACTTTATCATCATTTTACGAAAGATAAATTACACTTGTGTGTGCATCTGTTCTGCCATTCTTGTGCCTTGCCCCCCCCTGGGAATAAACCAGCGGACGCCCATGGAGATAACCAGGAGTTACTCGGCTGTTATCAGGAGTGGTGCTGCTTACTTCCACTGGGGACGATGTTATAAATTATGTCATGGAACTCAGCCCAGGTGTCTTTTAATCGACAGCTGCTAACCACTGAGTAAAATAAAGAAGCACCTTTGGATGAGGTTGGTTTGAGGGAGTTCGGCGGAAATGATTGCATGATGCCAGCTGATTAAACCGACTGCGCACCCAGTTCCAGTTCCAAGGTATTCTCTTGCATCCTGCTTTTCGTTGGTTTCTGCTGCCTATCGCCGCTGTCATCTATGAGGGTGCACATATGGGAGTCTCGCTACTGGACTTGGCTTTCCCCAGACCTTTTTTTTCATCGGTCCGTGAGGTTCTTTATGCAATCACCCGGATACCTGTTAGGGTGAAGCTTTCGTCAGCAGTTACGGGATTACTATCTGTTCCAACTTTAACATGTGTTTAGTGAAAAATCGCAAATGTTATAAACTTCCCATCTATTTAGTCTTCAAAAATTGTCATCCAGTAAATAATTATTAAATAAAATTGAAGTTCGTTATCGTTCGTAGAGCAGCAAAGGGCGGTATCGTTGGTCATTGCTCCGCATGAACCACAAACGCCCACGCATGTGGTTCCCAAACACCCTCCTATGGTCTGATCCTCGTCCCTATTCTTTCGTCATCTCCCTCGCAATGTTTCGTCTGTATATATACCATCATGAGGGTGAAATCAAAAGATGTTCACTTCTAGACTGGGCTATGCTCGGCTTATTTTTCTTGACCCAAGAAACCACGTGCGCAACAGTCACTGAGAGAGATGAATAGGACGTCTTAGAATAACAGACAAAGACGGAGTTGATAGGACAGAATAGGAAGAGAGATCTCTGTATCAAGTGTGACAGTGGTAGGAAGACTAGATATTGGCATAAGCTGTTCCGGGGAGTCTTTATGGTGATTAAATGTCAACCTAAGAGAAGAGCATGACAAAGTGGGGTTTGCCAGAAGTCCTCTCGTCACGGTAGGGGCCTTGACGACAGGTTGTTTGTTTCCAACGCATCCCAGGTTATTCCAAGAACCGCGAATTCGATGAAATGGAGATTTCCTGAGTTTTCTTATCGAGTGTCACGGTAGACAGCTCGTTTGTGATTCCGGGTAAGAGATCCCATCGCCCGATTTCCCCCTTTCATCCATCTCCATGTCACCGGCTCTGTTTTCTTTGCATACTTGCTCCGGAAGGAAGACCTAGGGCCTGGCAAGATCGGCCCAGACGCCGCACATTGCGTAGACTCGAGATCGGAAATGACGGAGGGTGAATCACTTGGGAAAGTCCTCGTTGAGTCACTGAACGGTTGTTTGATATCTTGACGGAAGGGATTAACACTGTAATCTAAAGGTCGTAAAAATGTCGAGATCGGGTATTAAAATAAATATCTATGATGTTTTGGCCGAGTTTCGCGTGGGAAAAAAAGTATTCTCCTCGTCGTACCACCCGGCTGAGTGTTTCATCTCTCTCACTGAGTCTGAACAGCTGCTGCAGTCCGTGAGCATGGCGGGTCGCCTTTGGAACGTATTATATTTCGCCCGAGTTGGGATATCTAATTATCTCCAAGGTCTGTTTACATCTTGCCGTTAAGTCCTTTGCATCTTACAGTAAAGTCTTAGTTCTAGAAGCGATCACGGTTGGTTCATCGTATCCTAGATCTCTGTTAATCCTTGCCTCTTCGATGACGTCATTCACATCTCCCCTGAGTTTTCCATTGGTGTCCTTGTAATGAATTCTGCTGATTCGATTTTCCTTCTGCCCCATATGGTCCCTGCATGAGGGCAAGGGGCAGACGTTCTCTTCATTGGGGCTGATTAAATGGGGTCGAAAGACGACAGGCTTCTCTCGGGGGACCTCATCATGAACCTGGTAACAACTTTTTTTTTTTGCTTTGTGATAAGGCTTCTCCCATTCAGTTCCTCTCCTGGAAATGCCTGGTAATGGTGTGTTGCCATAGGATCTTACAGAGATGCAGTTATAGGATTTTATTATGCAATTTGTTCGGAAGAGCTCTTCCGGCACTCGGCATAGATCCAATTTACAAACAAACGGGCTGACAAATCGCTGTTTTCTCTGTTGATTATTATTTCCCCCTTTTTTCAGATGAGGCGTACAAAAGAATTGCCCAGGAGACTCTGGAGGAGCTGGACTGGGTGCTGGAGCAGTTGGAGACCATGCAGACGCATCGCTCCGTCTCGGACATGGCTTCCTCGAAGGTCTGTTTCTCTTGTGTTTCCTTTCTCGCGCGTTCCGATGCCACCTTGGGGCGGTGATTTCCACGTATCCTCACCGATATCGCGAGGATCGAAACTGCGTCCTGCCTTGTTTAAGTCGCAACGCTCGGTCGGACGGAGATCTCAGTCCTCGATGTGGAGATTGTGTACTGGAATAGGAACAAGGCCAGGACGAGATCCTCCGTGTTTATGACATTGTAGAACAAGGCATCTGGTTACTAGCCCTGCTCCATTCCGTATACCATGACCCCGGTTCATTCACAGAAACGGGAAATAATAATGACGAGAAGAACATTCTGGAAGCGACACTTGCGTGAAGTTTCTATTTCTGGTCTTGGCAAGAGCTCTCCACTTCCAGGAAATATACTTGTCTTTTCGTTTTCCTGACTTCGCCATTGTTCAAGTACAGGTTCCTCGACAAGTGAAGCTATTTTTAGTCGGGCCTATCAGACCTAATGATTCTTCCAGTTGTCTCAGTCGCTGTTGTAGGCGTTTTTCCATCTATCGATTTCGAGGATCGAAGTTTCTGGCGACATGTACCACATTTTTTTAAACTTGACTTATTTCAACTTTTAACGAGCTCCTATGAGCTGACGTCATTCCAATCGGAGCTCGCTGTGAAGATGAATGCATTCAGATGTAATGTACTTGATGAATGTACTCCGTTACCTCGCGAGGATATTTTCCAGTCATCGTCGTCGATTATACTCCAATCAGACTATCCGGCATCTCTTCAGTTATATATATTTTTCCTTGCAACGAGTGCCTCAACCGGGTGCTCTGCACCGGAATGATCCTTCCTGTAAAGAGAGAAGATGAAGAAGAAAATGAAGGTGGAGATGAAGATGCAAGCAGTGGAAGTTTCCGGTCTACTGGAAATCTCATGATATAGAGCCCGGCTGTTTCGATGAACCAGAAGATATCGAAATGGGATGGGAAATCCGGCTGGTGCAAATAGGCACCTTGACCTTGAGTTGCCTCCATCGTCTTATGATTGGGAGGCAGAATAAGTAAGAAACGAAGATAAGAAACTAGGTATTGAGTTATGGTCGTAATTATGAATTTGGTTCACGGCCTTCGTCGGAGGATTTCTATCAGCAGATCCGGAATTGTTGACAGGACAACGACATGAGATGGAATTTGCTTGAAGATAAACTGAAGAAATACGGAGAATATATACATTAAGCAAGACCCTTTTCGTGTTGATTCTGCTCCTGCGTCAATGCAGATTCCTGATTCTCAGCATCCATACGTCGCATATCTTGTTTTTGCAGAGGTATCTTTGTTTGACGTCACGAAGATTTTTATTTATCAAATTTGCAAGTACCAAGGAAAGGACGCTTGCCGATAGGACGAGTGTATTCGTGAAGAAAAGGTCTTCCTCCTCTGCTATGACGTCAATTATCCCCCTGACCAGGATCTGAAGTTTTTGATAAGTTCGACCGGATCTTTCATATATGGGCAGACGTCCTCTTCGGTTCCATAGAAGTCCAGTGAAGATTCACGACTGGATGGTAGAACGACCATTAGAATGAGGATGTGTTATGTCCGAGAGGATTTCATCTTTGCGTTCCATTGCTGAGTTTTACAGACAAAACAGTTACTCCTCCAAGGACAATCGTCCATCGAAAAAAGCCGCAGCTGGTTGTGGTCACTTCGATTTGATGACTGTCACCTTCATGTTGTTCGCCCTGGTCGCCTGCGAAACATTATCATAGCGCATCTGGGGAAAAAAGAGAACACAATGCGACCAGTGCTTTTATTCGCATCAATATCGTGAAAATACTGGATTGATTCTGATGAAATTTGACCCCAGTAGATACACGGGCAAGATAGTTCAACAATTTGTTTTATAAAAAAGGAAAGCCGCCTGGTATGCTTTCGTTTGGACCACCTTGTACTTGTGGACCACCTTGGACCACCGTGTAGTCGTTTGGAATGAGGACAGTTGGAGGTCGTCTTGCTCGCATTATCGTCGTTATATCCCCAATCATTCATTCATTCCCATTCAAGGCATCCACGGCTCCGGTCTCTCATTCATCCAGCCGTGTGCTTAGAATGGAAATGGGTCCTTGACTTCCGGCTAGCTATCTGTCAAATCGAGAAATGTGGATTTGTCGCTTCGCGTGCTGTTCCCGGTCGTGGGTGGGGATGCGCTGTTTCTTACCTGTGCTGATTTCAAGTCTCAAGCTGAATCTCACCGAAGTAGTCGGAAATGCAAGCTGAGTTTCTTGCCAGTTCGTTTGAGCAAACTAAACCTTGTTGCATTGAAATGAGTTTTTTTTTAAGCCAGAGGCGAACAGTTGATGTCCATGTTCTATTAATACGTACCTTAATACTATTTCTTTTTTTTTTTAAATTAGGTTTTAGACCTGTATAGGGGGGCAAAATAAGTTCACTCTTTTTCATTTTGTTCCTTTCATACTAATTAGGATGCGCTGAAGCAACTTTGAGGGTGATTTATACCTTTCACCTCTGATTTAAAATGCTGTATTTCAAGGAAATGTGAGAAAGCGTTCTTGCACAGAAATCTTTTGGCGGTGCGAGGTAGAAAATCGCAGTTTTGTGCTCGCACTGTTATGCTAGGATAAACATCCTTTATTTATTTGTGTAAAAAGGAGTTCGAAGAAAGCAACAACCATAAATAAAGTTAGGGTTAAAATTGCCAATAGGGATCGAAAGCAACGTTTAATGTGCTTCCTTCCTTTCCTAAGCGCTATCAGCTCAGCCCGCCACTGCTCGATCTCCTGAGCCGATAGATCATGGCGAATGAAATTATGGTGCGCAACTGTTATTCAGCAGTATATCAGCCTCATGTTGAAGAAATTTTGTTATAACCATCTGTCATATTTCCTTATAATATTGTACATTAGATCTGAGAACAGTGGTACTAATGATCCTCTAAATTGAATGAACGTGTCTTTAATTAGCATAGAAATAACGATCCAATGAAAAGGGTGAATTTCTTTTGCCCACCTTGTAGATAGAGTTTAACTTAGCTTCAGGTTGGAGTTTTAGCGAAGGGACGGAACAGGCCCCAGAAGTAACTTAGTCCATGGTCGATCCATGACATTCATTCTTGGTGGATATTAAACTAGATTTTTTTTTCTCTAGAATATGGCGCCACCGTTAATGGGCGAATTTCAAATTATGATTTAGTTGAATCGCGATTCAAGTCGCGAAGATATGGGATTTGACTGGAAAGATTCGGATTCAATTGCGATTGATTCTGATTTGATTCGAGAGGTACGGTGAGAAAATTCCACTCCCAGTCGTCTTGAATCCCATGTCGCCTTTTTTCAGCTTGTGAATGTCCTTCGCTCTGTCTTCGTCATACGAGATGGTGAGACAAAATGAAGCGCATATAATAACTCTTTTCCCATATGGCATGCATCTGCAGGGGCGTGGGACTTGCTTGCTGAAAGCCTCTGTCGGATTCTCGAGCTTAATCGTGACTGGATCTGGACTAAGATTCGAGAGTCCTGGTCGACCTTATAACTTGAGGTTCAGCCTTGTATGACTATTCGAGATCTGGTTCGAAAGCCGTTATTGAGCTTGATTTGAGAATCAGTAAGATTCAGGAAATACTAGAGTATTTCTAAGATTTGACTAACATGAGAGATCGTTTCTTGATTTAGAGAGACTGAAATTCGATTTGAATTCCCATTTGGAACTTCTGTGAAAACATTTGGAAGTTGCCAACCCCAGTCAAATATATCCTGGAATGATTTGTAAAAATTCCAACTCTGGGGCTTACTCATCGCTGGCTGTCACATAGCTAGACATCACGGTGGGATTCCGCTTGGTTTTTCCTGTTGACCTCTCGGTGTCTCGTAGGGGAATCCCGAGTATTTCTGCTTATTCGGCGCATTCTCAAGCGTTCAGATCATTGGAATCTTTGGGGGTCACTAGAAGGACGAATTCGGCTGGAAACGAATGCCTTATCTGTTTTGTAATATTTCCCTCCAAAACGGAATCCTAAATCAAAATCTGAAATTAAGGCAATATTTAAAAAGGTCATAGGTTAGCCGACGCCCATGAGGTGGGCAGGGAGGGGGCGCTTTCTTTCTCTTTCGGATCATCGTGGTTTTGTTGAATGGCTTGACAGAAGAATGCTGATTGACGTCGTCTGTTCCCTTCATCTTGTTTGATGAGTGGGGGATTCTTGGGAGAGCTATTCCTGGCAACGAGAGCCAAATTCACTAGGCTGTAATTCCGGGCAAGGTTTATCGGATCCCATTGTACTCTTTTGGGACGTGATGAAGCAACGGAATGACTCATGTGAGGGAATGCAGTGGTTGTGAGTGCGTGAACGCATTCGGATTTTGAATTTTTTTATGCACGTGTGCTTTGGAAAAGGTATCCCAACAATAATTATTCGCATTCCCTGCATTCCTCATTGGGATTCTGTGGCTTTGCAGCAAGTCGTAGTCGCCAATTAATTTTGAAGGAAAGGTGGAGGTGGACGTTTAAGAGGATAGTATTTTTAAAATATTTTCCGAACCGGTTTTCGGTGAGAGGAGTCAGTCCAGAGTCCGGTTTGTCAAATGTCAAAGCGAAGGCTGGTGTGTCAAAGTGCCTTTTGATGCATGACTTCTGATCTGGATCGCCATGTTCAGATCATGTGAAACGTGGGAGGTAGCAGGCATTCATTTTCCTGAAAATTCGAAGAGAAAGAGATTAAATGAAAAATCGACAGCTTCATTTCGTCCTTATTTCGGGGAGACATGTCGTGACTCCATCGGCCTTTTTTTTCTATCACTTCTGAAGGACCCATTGACATGAATCATCCCTCATGTAGTTACATCACTATGATGAGATGAGGATCTCATCTTACGCTTCTCGTGTCACATCTGTCAAGATCTGTGATGCACGGCACCCGAAACAGAAAAGTCTCTCTTCCCATCACGAAAATGTTCAGGGCCATTAGCCAGATTAGAAGAGAAAAGGGAGTTCCAAGAAGCAGCCTGCAGCATCCCGGTCTGTCTGTCAAATTTTTTTTCGTTTGGAGACCGGAAAACCCCACCGAGGTGAATCACGACTGTGTTTATGAGAAATGCCGTACTCACTCCTGCGTATTCGATTCAACAGCTTTGTTCCCTGAACGACCTCGTGAATCATCTCTTCGAACGGGCCAGGTGGAATTATTAATGGGGTTTAGAGGAAAGGCTGAAATGCGCACGTTGTATTTTATGCGCAGGAAGACAATGGCACTTGCATGTATGAAAAACCTGTTGCCTCATCTAACGCTTATTTCTGTGGAATTAATGAGAAACTGTTTCCGTGCTGCGTACTGGAAATGAAGTGTCGGCACGAGATGCCACTGGGGTCATTCGAGGCGATTCAAGCTCAACCATCAAAATGACACATTCGTATGATTGGGAACCGGAAGAGCTTGAAATTGTTCCAATTCGCGTCGGTAAGGTAACCGAAAAGAATCCAAGATTAGGGGCGTTCGGTTTCTTGGCAGAGGCAAGAACAAGGCAGTACGAGACGTCGGAGGGCATTGGAACCTCTATTTCCAGTCGGACGATTGCGACGCATTTCGTGCAGGAAGAAAGGAATTTTGACCTATGGATATGAACATGACACCCCGCTTCATACTCTTCCACGGATGATGGATATGAGGAAAATATCCAGTGCGCATGCGCCTTAGTGGCGGCCCCTCCCCCCCCCCCCCCCGTCCTTATAACGGAGTGGGATGCGCTGAGAACAAGTCAGAACTCCTTTGCACGGCCATCCATCCTCATCCGTTCTTGTCATGGTGTCAAACTGTAACGACATGACGGTGGCCGACTTGGCCCGAATCCTTTGTGACTGTCCGTGCTGTCAAGGGGTGTGTGAAGCATGCGGACTGGTGCAGGACATCCAGCGTCAGGTCCAGCGCCTGTCCGGCCAGAAAAAGAATCACCTGGTGGTGGCACAAAAGTCCATGATTGTCTGCGGTCGCCGTGGTCCCGTCTGCCATCAGCTTCAGTTTACCATCGCGGATTTCAACAACGACCTGAAGAAAGGGGGGCGGAAGCCCCGGCTGGGCTTTCCCGGTCTCGTCACCCTCGTGAGAGTCATCAACCGGAAGAAGGTAGTCACATATACCTTTCATCTCGTTGGATTCCCTTTTCAACAACAACATCCGAGCTCTTGAGTAGACTCTGGGGGTCTTAGTATCTGAAGATAAGAGATATGGAGTGTCTGAATATGGATGTAGAAAAGAGAGGGGGGGGGGGTTGTTCCTTGAAAATACAAGGTTGACGTAAAGTTACTTGGGCATTTAAAAATATTGTTTTGTAAATTATTAGCATGATGTGTGTACATTCTGAAAATGACGTTTTCAGAAAATGCGCGAAGCTTCCCCCCCCCCCCCCTTCCTCATTCATTTCAGGTTGAAGACAGCTTGACCTAACCATGCTAGCATGAATGAACGGAATAAGGTGTTTCTTTGGATGGCCAAGTTGGAATTACCAATGGGTACCAAACGACTGTTTCTGGCATTTTATCGAAAATCTCCTTCAAGTAAAAATGCAGCAAGAGAGTTCAAGAAATTCAAGACTATAGGGTCAGTAGTAAACAGGTTTATTTTCAACTCGATGCTAACGCGTGCTGCGCTTCTTTCACTATTTCTTCTCACTGAGGAATGACCATTGCGCTTCCTGTCGGCTACGACATGGTCAAATCAAGCTTTCTTCACTCATGAAAAAATAGGGGGGGGGGGGAAGCTATTGAATTGTATGCTTTTTTTTTAATGCTCAACAGTTTATGTCCACCCTGTTTTACAGGATCCGAGGAAATTCTCGTTTTCAGATGCATCACATGTACTTGGCATCGAAGAGTTTATTCAGATGTAACAGTGTCGAAATGATCGTCTGGAACTGAAGTGTAACGGTCAAATCTAATATCTGTTGATTCACTCGTGATTGAGGAATTGAAAGTTATTTCATTTCATTTCCCCATTTTTCCCGCTAATTCTTTTTCCCCGCAATCAAATAAGAACCGAGAGATTGCAGAGGTCGTTGAACATAAGGCCTTTGAGATGAAAGGAATGAGGAAAGGATGACGTCGGTGAATGACGCATGAAGGCCTTGAAACTTAATTGGGAATCCTTGTTGCCACGGGAGGGAGAAACTCTTTTGGGTTTCCGGCCTGAGACCTGTAAACTGATGTCAGTGGTACTGCGCCGGTAGCCATATCACGCAATGACGATAAACTGTAGAGAAACGCTTTCGTTATCATCTCATGCATGTCGTGGCATTCAAAAGCCTTCATGGACCTTGGATCGCATCTCCACGCGATACATTAGTTGTAAAGATCTCTGAGTTTGGAATGAGGCGGATGGAAGCCACGCATTCTGCCGGTCCTTTTTAGGAGCGGGAAAGGAAAGAGTTGCAGGACAAAAAGGACAGAAATAAGGTTTCCCTTTGTGTCTTCTCATCAGAATGGAGGAAGCCCCATCAATCCTTAATTTCCCCATTCAGAGATGCAGCTTCATCCAGGGTATTCTGTAGACCCGACGTGATCTCCCCGACCCCCGCATTCTAGGGTGTATTCAGGTGTCCGGAAACATATCTGGGTTGACGCCAATCGAATTTCAAGGAAGCCCGTTCAAGTCTGTTTTTCTTTCCGGAACGAAAATTTTGCCAAAGAAAATTAACCCTTATCCTGGAAAGGTGTTTTTATGACAAACGAGCAAGGGCAAACATTTAATTTATTTTTTCCTAAAAGCAAATCGAAGTTCTAAAAATTTGTTTTTGGATCTGTGGTAAACAGTCTATTAAAGACACATTAACTTTGTAAAACATTTTTACGAAATTTCCAGAAAATAATGCATTGAGATATACCCTGGGACTCCCCTCTGCTCGGATAAGGATTAAACAACTCCATAAGAATAGCATCGGAAAGGAGACGTTGAACAATGATGAGCCATAATCGCAAAGTCGTCATGACTCACGAGGCAGTCCCATGTGCCTCTACCCACATACATCATAGCACCCCGTGTAATGAATCCCACGGCTTCCTTCATTAACCTCCACCCCCTTCCTCCTTCGTTGGAACCCGTCGCCCCTTCATCGTGACTTATTGTGCAATCCAGCTCTTACCCCCAGCTGATTGGTTGTCTTGGACTGAAATGAATCCTGGAATAGATGGAGGGAGACACGCGTGCCGGTTCGGCCGTCACGTTCGATCGGACCATCTGTTGTTGTCCGTGTGATTTTCCGAGCACGTGTCGAAACGGTACGACGTGAAGGAAGTCACTTCTGAGTTGTTTTCGTCTTAGTCGGGTGCCTGACTTTTCTGTTGATGGATTCAGTTCGCTCTTCCCGTGTCACATGCTTGTCTGTTTTCGGCACTTTCTTGAAATGCAGCCTTGAATAAACGATTTCGGAGCGGGACACTAAGCGGGGCGTGAGTGTCGAAAGAATCCGGGTGCGATTTGTTGATATAGACTTCCTTCCTGGAAAGATACCGTTCGGTATGTTCCGCACGGAAACCGAGAGTCCGAAAATACTCGTCGAGGCCGTGTGTTTACACAGACCCGACGTGGAATGTGGATATAAATGGCCGTGAAGGCGCCACATGAATGTCTCTCCGAGGTAGTATCAGGTGATAGAAGGAAGAGGTGTGTTACGCCTTCACGAGACGAGTAGGTAAAAAAAAAAAAGACTGGTCCCTGCCAACGCATTCCTGACCTTGTATGGGCAGTTTTTCCCCCCCCCCCCCTTTACGTTGGAGCGTTGCCATGCTGATGTTTACCAGTCCAGTGTTACGCGCTGCAATTATCATTTCTCTCCGGTAACGAGAAAGTGACTGGAACGTACCGTACCGGACGTATTGGCAATCTTTTCTTCCTGCTGCTGCGTGAATTCCGCTACGCGTGAAACACTTTTCCCTGGAACGAGACGAGTTTTCCATTAGCGTCCATATGTATACTAACAAGAGGAGAATAAATGCGTCGGCTGTTGACTGCAGGATTGTTATAAGCGTACAGAGGTGGAGGAAATACCCACAGAATCGGCAGGAGAAGAGAAACAAATACGCAAGCTTTAAGATAGAAAATAAGTTTGTCAAAATTGCGTAATGCTTTTGGAGCCACATCATACCGATCCATCCTGCATCGACATAAAAGCTCGTGCAGAATGAGGTGACGGGAGATAAGACGGTTGGGTTGAACCAGTTTTCTTCTCCGGGTGGTGATTCATTCCCGTTGAGATTTGGGAAATGCCCCGAGGGCATGTCGATTACGTGTGGAGCCGGCGCCAGGGATCCCGCAGGAGGTCCTCACGTATGCGCATCCCCAATCACAATGGGCGACGGGTCCGGTCCGTCTCCATTCTTTCTACATCCAGACCAAAGTAGTTAGAACTGTGGTGGGTGATTTTTCGCGATGGGAGATATGGTGTGCCTCGAGGCGCCCGACATCCCATGACATCGCACGACGTCCCTCGATCGAGCGCAAAGAGGTCTGTCCACTCTCTCCCCAACTATCCCGCGTACATGTGGACGGATGATTATGTATCTCTCTGATGAAATCCGCTCGGGTCAATGCTTCGATTCCAGCCGTTACGGAGAAAGCTCGGACTCGAATAAACAAGCACGTGGTCAGGAATGTATTCCCGTTTCTATCGGGTACCATCTTGTGAGTGTCTCATTGAGCAATGGAGGCTTGACCTTTGGGTGGATGTTGTTGTAGGCAAGTGCTCGGCCTTGAATTTATTTTTAGTCAATGGCTGTTATCTATGAGCTCTTGAGAGTCGTTTCGATCATTGGATTCGGATTTCGTTCAGCTTTTTGTCAGTCGCGAAAAGAGGAAAACCATTAAAACCATTATTACTGTGAAAGAGGCGCCTGACGCAAATGGGGGGGTTCTCGTTAACCACTTGAGAGAAAATCGTTAGTATAATTGGTGTTCCTATACGTTTCTCGTTGCAGTTCAAAAGGATGCTCAACCGGGAGCTCATTCAGTTCAGCGAATCTTCCAAGTCGGGGAACCAGATTTCCGAGTTCATCTGCTCTACCTTCCTCGGTGAGTCTTCTTCGCATCACACTGTTAAAACAAGGAATAACGAAATCATACTTTTTTTAAATCCAAATTTCGTTAAATAAGAATATTGGATAACGGTCGATTCAGTTCACGTTCATGTCAAAATTGCAGCATTACAAAAAGTACAGTTTCATATGTCCCCATTCGGAACCCCTGTCGGAACTGTCATTGTTGGTTTACTTTCAACACGAATTACGATTAATGCGAACTGAATCGACGGTTCCCACCCGAATTCTTGCTAACAAGGTTCGACTAATTGAAATTCGAGAACCTCTAAGAGTTAGGGTTGCTCCAGCCGTAGCTTCATTAATGGTTTCGCTACCAATCATAAGTTCGAATCGGTAGGTGTCAGTTGTAGAGGCCTGATATATCTTATGGAAAACTGGTTTTGAGGATGACATCATTGGGCCTCGAATTTAATCAGGGAGAAGTTCGTGGCCCAATTACATAGATCGTGGACTAGTTGGGCGATGCGACGAAAGGAACAATGTGAGAGTGAAATTATTCCTTCAAAAATTGCCACCCCCATCGCCTGGTCTTCACCTGACCTAAAATTCACTGGATTGGAGAGGAAAGTTTGTAATTTCCATGAGGATCGAGTAACAGGATTTGCAGACTTGGAAAGAGAACTAATTTGCTATTCAGGAGCATCGGTCCCTTGATAAGTGTCGTCTTTAGACGAGCCGATTATCTCGTAATATCCCCTTGACGTCAGCAAGAAATTGCACTGATCCGATTATCTTTATGAGGATGATCCGATTTTTCCCATGAAGATTTCCGTCGCAAACTTGAGATATCCGGCTGGGTCGGTGGGAGAAATTTGGCAAGGGATCCATCGTCACCGCCGACCTTGGGCCAATTTTTTTTTGTACCATCGAGGAACTTCCAAATGGAAAAAGAAAGAGAACATACGTCACATGTTATTGGCTGAAGGCCGTTGAGGGCAATTTTTTGCCGATTAGGGTCTTTGGGATTCACCAGGTAGCTTACGGTGGGGGCGGGAGACATGCATTATGGAGGAATACTGTGACGTTTTTCACGAAGAACCATGAACGCACTTAACTCCCATTTATTGCTGGATTGGATGAATAAAAAATGAACAGCAATGCATGGTTCCTTTGAATTATGAACACATATGGCGCTTTTTCGTGTATATTACGCGAGGGACGAGCGCAAAGCTATTTTCTGCTACTATGCTTTACCACGCAACTCCACGGTTCAGAGAAAGTCCAGAGCAGAAGCACTAGGGGTGGTTACGAAAAGAGAGAAAGGACATGGAGTGAGACAAACCGACTTACAAGCTGGAAACTCGCGGCTCTCCTTTATGACTCCTGTTATTTACATTTATGTTTCACCGGGCAGCCATACGACTGAATTCCTTTCGCAATTTCGAAGATCTAAAAGATTTGGTATCAAAGCGTAGGTGTGTGGGAAGCATGAGAGCCATCGGACGAACCATCTTAAAATATAGATCGAATTGAGCGTGTTCTTGATCAGGCGAATGTAGTAGACTTTTGTGAAGGTACTATGAATCTGTTGTTAGAAACTTCCCTAGTGATATTCGATGAAAAGAATAGAAAATTAAATTAGTTTTCTACTTTAATTTGCTGTAGATAAGCAGCAGGAGTTGGACTTGCCGTCGCTGCGGATCCCGGAGGAGGAGGGGGAGAGTGTGGGGGAGGAGAAGGAAAAGATGAAGGGAGTGAGAGAAGTGGAAGGTGGCGAAGGTGGTACGGGACCCGGGACGGGGACTCGGATGAACCAGGTTCCCGGCATCAAACCCCTGTCCATCACCCAAACCAACTCGATCGTGACCCTACAAAAACTGCCCCGCTTCGGAGTGGAGACCCCCCACGAATCCGCCCTCGCCGACGTGAGTGACGGTCGCCCGTGTCTACTCGAACACCCCTAGTAGTTTCCCGTGCTTGAACCTATGCTTCCTCTTTCTTGCAGCTGATGAGTCGAAACCTGAACGATTGGGGGCTGGACATCTTCCAGGTCTCCAGTCTCACTGGTGGCCGACCTCTCACCGCCGTTACTTACACCATACTCGAGGTCAGTCCTAAGCTCTTGGAACTGTCAGGGGGACTCGAATTTCAAGGATCAGTTGCCGATTGCAATTCTGATTTAGGCATCAGTGATCAGTAAGGAAGGATTAATTACTTTCCTGAGAAATCTCTTGCGTGACTCCGTCAACGTCATTCGTATTACAATTAAGCCTCAATGTACCGCCACTTGGTATACAGTCACCCTCATTCATCGCCAACCTATTCCCGTGAAAAAATCTCTTTAGCTGGTGTAGACATGAGTTGGATGAGAATAAAGGGCACACATCTGGGTTCAACATTTTCTTCAGTAACAGATGACATTTGAGCAAACATTTGATGACATCCTTTACTTCTGAAAGATAGGACAATTGTCAGTTGCGTTAGGATTACATAACTCATCAAAGGGTTACCAAGTGGCTTCCAGACCGTGATGGAAAGAGAATACTTATTTCAAATGGATACATAGATGAGACCTTCCCATCCTGGATGCAATCTGGCGTTGACAGTATGAGAAGAATCAGTAAATGAGTCAACATGATGAGGATGATGATCATGATGACGTGGTGAATGAGGATTTATATGGATGGGCGTTGTTGTTTGCACAGCAACGGGACCTACTGAAGACATTCAAGATCCCAGGGAAGACGCTCATTGCGTTCCTCATGACACTAGAGGACCACTACCAAAAGATCCCATACCACAACAACCTCCATGCGGCTGATGTCACCCAGTCCATCCACTACCTCCTCAACTCCAATGCCCTTCAGGTGAACTTGTCTCACCTTTCAATTGGGAGTGAGGTCTTCTCTTGGACAGACCTTAACATATAATTTTTTTTTTTATTACAGTCGGTATTCACACCACTGGAGACCCTTGCAGCCATCTTTGCTGGTGCAATACATGACGTTGACCATCCTGGAGTCACCAATCAGTTCCTCATAAATACAAGTGAGTTTCAGAATCTTGCAAGTCTCTGTGCTTAGGTTGAAATGTAATTCAATAAATTTTATTCCTTTTAAATATTGTGAATTAATGAATGATAAATTGAATGCAACCAGGTTCGGAGCTGGCCATCATGTATAATGATGAGAGTGTGCTGGAGAACCATCACCTGGCTGTGGCCTTCAAGATCCTTCAGAATCCAGAGCTGGACATCTTAGCCAGCCTCAACAAGAAACAGAGACAGACTCTGAGGAAAATGACTATTGACATGGTGAGTCTCACTCTCATATTATCATGATTGAAAGAAGTCAAGTAGAAGTTATATAAGATATTAACTTTACCCTACATTTTGACTTGATATTGCTTCCTCTCACTTGTTACTTGCTTCCTTAAGTATCTCAATTTTGATTCCTCTATACTGGTAATGTAATGGTGCAGAAGATTATGAATGTCATGAATCTAAAGCAACCTCAGCTCTTCAACTGGAGCCATTGGACACATGCTCATTCTGTTTTTTTTTTTTTTTCTTGCATTGATGGATGTTTAGGTGCTGGCAACAGACATGTCAAAGCACATGTGCCTCTTAGCTGATCTCAAGACCATGGTGGAAACAAAGAAGGTGGCCGGGTCTGGTGTCCTTCTCCTCGATAACTATACAGATCGCATTCAGGTATTGCATCCCCTTTGTGTCACAGACCTATGTTGGTAGCAATATTTGTCAGTCCTCTTCTGTAGAGACAGGTAGTAGGTCATTATTAGAATCAACACCCTGTCCAGGAATTCTTATGAAGGGAAAAAACTGATGAAGTTGCTTACCTGTGAAAGGAACTTAATAAATTAGAAGTTGAACCAGAGAAGAGAGTATTAAATATGGTAATGTGCTTCTTTTTGCAAATGTCTGGGGTCTTTGTTAGTGCACTTTATTATGAGTAGACATCTTTTGCATTACTGGTGCAGGCACTTATAAGGCATCATTTCTTTTGACTAAAGAAAAGTTTATCCACTTGCTGTTTCATGTGCTGGACTTTTAAGTGGTTTGCACTATGATCCTAACTGACTTGGTGTGTGAAACGCAGGTGCTGCAGAACATGGTGCACTGTGCTGACCTGAGCAACCCAACCAAGCCAATGGCATTATACTCTCGCTGGGTGGACTTGCTCCTTGAGGAATTCCATCTCCAGGGTGACAAAGAACGCCAACTCAGCATGGAAATCAGTCCCATGTGTGATCGATTCAACGCCACTGTTGAAAAGTCCCAGGTATGCCCTTGGAAGAATGTATTTTCTTCATTGCTCCCAATAGGTGTCATAACTATCTTTGCCTTAGCAATTTGCATGTATATTCAAGAATATGATGAAATTACTTCGCAATATTTCAAATATATTAGTGAATGCATTTGTTGATTTAGTCAACTATCTGGACAGATAAGAGTAATGCAGATGGAATGTTAGAAAAACACTTCTTTCAGCATAGATACATTTTTTACGCAGTTGATGGATTATATAAAGTTGAAAGCACTCGAAGCTGAAGTGGATGGATTGTGAAACACAGGATGAATGAAGTTAGATAGCATGATAGATAGTGGCTATCAACATGGTGCTGGTTCATATCCATAAAAAAGTATCATTATTGTTGCAGGTTGGATTCATTGACTACATTGCCCACCCACTGTGGGAGACTTGGGGTGACCTGGTGCATCCAGATGCTCAGAACATCTTGGACAATCTGGAGGAAAATCGACACGCATACAGCATAATGATTCCGTCATCACCGACGTCCACTGTCAGTGGTTCCCACGAGCTCAGCAGCGAGAACCAGCCACCATCGTTGGAGTCCCAGAGGATGGACCGCAAGTCCCCCGTCAAGATCACGGTCGGTCATGCCGATCAAGGTGCCAACACTAACAATCAATGATCCGTGACTCCTGGGTCTCGATCTTCACGTTCCAAAGCCCTTGCCCTTTGAAGGACCTCAAAGGACCATGCCCTCGTGGATCGAGCGGCGCCTTTCGCGTGTGCTTTCAAAACTACTCCCCCTGCTTCGTGGAGAGAGACACAAAAGAAGAAAGTATTCTCCTTTTTTTATTTGTATCATCTCCTGCTCTCTCTTTCTGTCTCCATCGACCCAACCTTTTTGACCGTGATTTGTTGGAGGGTTCTCTCCATGAGCGTGCCTCAGTGAGTTTCACTTGTGATGATGGGTTCTGGAGAAAAAATCTAGAGAGATCCTCCTACGTTGCTCTTTCCATTCTGAATGAATGTCAGATTTGTCTGGAGAGGGAGAGAGAAAAAAATTTGACCAAAAAAATTGTATCATCTGTCCCCCCCATCCAGTATGAAGATTGTGAATTTATTTTTCTGCCGGTGAGGAGTGTCATGCCTGACTCCCGTGGAGTTTCTTTAGCTAAATTTGTCATGAAAAGATTTTTTCATGCTTCTTGGTAATGTGAGAGAGTGCATGAGGAAAGAAAGCCAGGCATATCATAATTATAACCCTCTTATGACTGGAAAAGAGAAAGAGGCAACAATAAAACAGGGAGGATGCAGAGAATTACGGTTGATATATTGTTTGTTATCCGAATGTTTTCTTTTTCTTTTTTTCCTTCCAAGAGAAAAAGAATAAATTCACTTTTCATGAATCCCACACAATGAGTTTCATCTTGTCACCATCATCTTTGATCACTTCTGGTCTGGAGTCCACCAGGGGAATGTGAGTCAACTTACATTCTGATTCCAGAAGTTGTAGTTAATGAAAACTTATAACTGTCTGTAATTTTGCAAAGAGACAGACTAGCTGGTATAAACTTTCTTTTCAAAGTAGTGGTAAGTGTTTAGTTAGTTGTGCAAATCAAGACAACCAATGGGACAGCTACATTGAAGCTTCTTGAGGCTGTGAATTGAATTCGAGGAGCAACATTCTGCCTTGGATATGGTGTATTTTGTACTTGCAGTATTTGTCCACTTTTTATTTATAGAAAAAAAAACAAGCAAAAACAATGAATTATCAATAAAAACAATAGTTCGACCTGCATTGTGCCTAACCTTAATGCATTCACCCCATGGGCTTCCCAGTGAACTTGGATTGACTCTGTCCATTCGCAGAATGACTCGATGCCCAGTTGGATCTCTTGAAATGCATTTTGAATTGTTTGAATGCCAGTAATCAAATATGAACTACCCTGGAGTTTGATGCAAGAGGCTTCCATTTATGTTAGTGCCAAATTACCAAGAAGGAACAGAGTGCTTAAACAAGAATATGAAAAGGGTTTCACCTACTATATGCTGAGCTTGATTTTAGTTGACAATAAATATAATTAATTCAACATGATTAGCATATTTTTAATGGCGTTAAATGGAAAAGTCATGAGTGCAAGGCACAAAGTTTTTCCTGAGTAAAATAAACTAATTAAGAGATTTAAAATGAACAACCAAGCACACCACCCCCTGACGTACCCAAGATCTCATCACCACGCCGAGTTTTATTTACGAGTTCATCATAAGGATTTATTGCAATCTTGGCTTGGTAATGTCCCTGGCGGGGGAAATGTTTCACTTCTCCAGAAAAATCTGACATTTTTATTCTGAATTCCTCATGGAGAAATCATTATTCATTATGAACTTCTTCCATTCCGAATTTTGTTAATCAAATTAGGTCAACTTTTGAATGCGAGTCGCCTTTTAGTTTTTAGTTTTAATTTTCAATTTCTTCGGCAAGTTTTCTCCGTCTTCGAACTTTCTTTAATGCTCTCAGACACCATCGCAAGTTTCCTTTCGAGATTTTCTAAGAATCCGCGAAGAATCCTGCTCTCTCGAGACCGTGATCGACTTCGTGACGCACTTACCGGAGTTTGTTTACCGATTTTCGTCGATATCGCTCGAGTCCCTGCTGCGATTCCATCGGCGGAAAGACGAGAAAAGACATCCGGTAATCAAAACAGAAATCTCCGGCAGAAAATTGCGACGAGGAAACGAAAGGAAGTGATAGAAGGTTCCGCGATGAGCGTTTCCGCCCGTGAGGACATCCCGTGCCGAGGTCGAGCGAAAATTTATCATAAGATGGGCCTCTATCCTCCTCCTCTCTCCTCCTTTCCTTTCCTTTCCCCTCCTCTTTTCGCCTCTCCTTAGAAAGATGGATATTTTTTGGGAGCATTTCCACCGCCTGCCTACATTGCCTCCAATCTACATTGCTCCTGTTTTTGCTCTGTTCAGGAAGGCGTCTAATCTCGTGAAGGTATCTAATCTAACTACCTCGTTAAGGCTTCTAACCCCCTCATTAGGGCATCTAGCCCCCCCATTAAGGCATCTAACCTCCTCAGACAGGCATCTAAACTCATAAACTCATGAAGCCAGTCACGGCGCGGGACAGGCATCGTCATTCGACGCATTCCGCGCATTAATTACCCTGCAAATTTAAAAGTAATGTCGTAATCCGAGTCTCGCCTGGGGTTTATGCAACTTGAGTTTCTTCCCTCTCGTTCCGATCCGTCATCGAACTGGAAATAACCAGCGCGCCCTGCGTTATCGATTCCCATAATGATCTTAAATGCTTGGATGAGGAGGTTAGATGCCTTAATGGGGGGGCTAGATGCCCTAATGAGGGGGTTAGAAGCCTTAACGAGGTAGTTAGATTATTCCAATTCGCAAATTTTTATTTTATTTTATTTTTTTATTTTATTTTATTTTTTTATTTTATTTTATTTTTTTATTTTATTTTATTTTTTTTATTTTATTTTATTATTATTATTATTATTATTATTATTTTTTTTTTTTGGGGGGGGGGATTACAAAGTCACTTCCTGCTCCTATTTGTCTTTTGTGCAGAGCTCTTTCCAAACACAGTGGCGGCATTTTTTTCTCGAAGGCTTTCAACCAGACGTTAACTGGTGCCAGTGAAGAAATAATGAAAGTGTTTCATCGTCGAGACAGTGGTTTTACTCGCATGATTCATTTTATACAGATCAACTCAATCAAAATTGCCCTTATAAAAAAAAGGGTTGCATCGGCAACCACCGATATCGGCCGCCGACATGGCATCGGTGGCTTTCCAAGCTGCCATGTCCATGCCCAAAGAAGAACGTGCGAAACATGAAAAATAAAAAATACGCCACGGTAAATGATTCTCAACAGCAATAGGTAAAATGCGGGCTGTCACGTCACAATCGAGAATTGGAAGCATCAATGACGTCACCACCCCCCCCCCCCTCCCCTCCCCTCCCTGATCACAGGCGAGATGGAAGACAGGAAGTGGTCCTTGTCCCGATCGAGGCAGGAAACGACGGAGGTGGATCCTCCGTCCGATCGAGACGTGAGATCACTGAATGATGCAGCGTGATGGTGGTACGTGATGCAGCGATGCACCATCGCCGGTTATTCAGGTCGATATGCTTTCAAAACGGCCATCCTGACAGTACTAAAAAAAAAAAAAGAACATGGCTTCATAATAGGCCTATTTGAATGAGCATTTGAAATGGATTTCAGCTCTTCAGCGACACGTCACAATCGGTCCATCGGCCAAAAGCGGCCACCGCGAAGCCTTAAATTTCGAGCCACCTGGTTCTGATGGCTCGAAATCCCCGTGATTCGGAAAGGAAATATTCGCCAGACCAGAAGTTTGCAACCGGCCTTCAACCGGATCGTCTTCAACCTCGCCCTTCATCCTCGCGGAATCCCACCGTACCTGCGAAAACGCGCAATTCCACTTCAAGGCTCGCCCCCTCGTCTTGAAGAGACGAAGAGACGAAGATCGAGAAGACACCCGAGACCGAGCGCCCGTCCTCCTCCCCGTCCAGTAGCCTCGCCGGAAGTGGACGACCGCAGAGACATCTGCAGGGATGCATTGTAAGCAGCAGAGTTGCATCGTAGCAGTCGCCCTTGTTTACACCAATGTGCTCAGGCGTTCAGATCGCATCAAACATGGGATGAACGTAAGACTAACATTTTTTGGCCTCCGTCTTCTAGCTGTCAACTTCAGCCAACTTAGGCCAACTTCAGTCCATTTCAACGTGCACCTGGCCTAGGCTATTGTGATGCCCGCTCGCTGCAGTGCTTGACGCAACGTTTAATCTGAGAGCTGGAAACCTAATGCTGAGTGATTTTCAATCAAGTTCGGCATTTTTCTCGCGATAGACAGCCTAATCTAGGATAGGCGTAAATGTACATCCACGTTTCGAGTCGAACGTGCCCCCCCCCCCCCCAAAAAAAAAAA